CTGACGCCTTGTGCACCGGAGCACATAACCTTGCACGGTCTATGGGTTACCAGGCATTATGGAAATTAGGGAAACATTGCAGTAATTTTTGGAAATGTATTTCACTCATATTTGACACATATTGTACGACAAATTTAAATCTTGCGCACAAAAATTATGTTGTACAAGTACAACCTCTTGACCCGCATTACCATGAAGCCTGTTGGACCTCTGGTACAGCAACCGTTGACCGTTGGGACAGCAACGCCTGCTATATCACTTAAAATTGCATGGCACTGGGGATTTTTTGGCTGGGTAAGGGCATGGCTGCTAGATAGGAAACAATGAGTAACGTTCAATGGACGATATCTCACCGGGAGCTATTTTAATAACATTGAGTTAGAATTGGTTAGATAGTTGGATAGTTAGAAATTGAGGATTTAGGGAGTAAGGAGCTTAAGTGTGCTGACGATAATAAATTGGTAGATGTGAAGAAAAATACCGAACACGTGACGCAAATTCAAGCTGACTTAAGTGATTTAGTGAACTAGGCTTCCCTGTGGCAGGTGTCATTCAATTATGACAAGTGTAAGACGATGCGTTTAGTTAGTTTTGGCACTGAGAGCACGAGCTATAAAATGGGAGGCCAGGAGTTAGACCAGATTGAGAATGAACAGGACTTGTGGGTCATTATTTCTGATTTAAACAGTGAAAAGCAATATTGGGCTGCTGGGAGCATGGCGCTTTGGATGCTGCAAATTTACAATAGAGAAACTATTTCAAGAGAAGGAATGTTGTCAAAAAGTTGTACTTAGCTCACGTCAGACCGCACCAAGAGTATTATGACCGGCTTGGTCCCTATGCTTCCAAACAGATGTAGACAGACTGAAAAGAATAAAACGAAGAGCAGCTAGGATGATAAATGGGATTGACGACTTAGAATATAGCTTAGGCTTAGGGCCTTGGATTTGTATCCACTGAAATATTGCAGACTTCCATGAGGTCTGATAGAGGTATTTAAGATTATGAAGGGGATAGACAAGGTGGAACACTACATGGAGCACTAGAAATTAGGCCGAGACAGCGAAAACCAGTTTCATTCAATAAAGATAGCACTAAGAACAGGCAGACGTTATTTGGTCAAAGTAGTAAACCATCGGTACGCGCTAACAAGGGGAGTTATAGCAAATCCCTCTCTAGCAACATTTAAAAAACTGTTTGGACAAGTTCAGTCGGTCTAAAGATCTCATTTGTAGCTAAATGCATGCATGTCGGGTGGAAATATGTGTTTCGAGGATGTGTACAGAGCCTGAGGAGACCAGCCTTGATGCGCCCTTGTGGCTCTTTGTTGCCCAGATGTCCTTATGCCTTTACGTCTTTATGTGTGGTTTGTAGCAGGTAATACAGGCAACGAAGTTTGCTACGTTTATCAAGCTTACGTACGTTTATGTGCACGCCAGAGCAGGTAAGGGTGCACCATACCGCTTAAACAATGAGCTTCAACGTATAGACTATAACTTTTTCTGAGATGCCTGAGAGGTAACCAACCGTGCATACCTATTTTGTAGGACGCCCTCAAAAGCGCCAGAGCCTATGGTTTCTGTGGGGGCGGATGAAATCACGGGGAGAGGGGCATGACCCTTTGGGTCATCCTCGGTGCATTTCTACAGCGTCTAGATAAGTGACAATTCGGATTTCCAGATACCGTAATTCCCATATCATAACGCCATGAGTGGCGTAGATATGAGTATAATGACGCAAACTCTCATGATGCGAAGATGCCAACAAGGCGTACATTTACAATGACAATGATGAGATTATGCGCATTGGTGAATACAGGTGCACAACCTATCTTGCGCAAATGCCATTCTTTGCTGTATTTGACATTGAAGCTTCAAATTAATTGAAATTTGTACGCTGTTGAGTTTCCCTAGTTCCATGCTATACGATTTTTAGATCAATCATTTCAAGGTGTTGGTTTTGGGAGAAATACTTAAAAAGTATGGCACTAATTGCTGACTAATTTTACAGAAAACACTACATCGACGGAAGTTTGGCTCGGCAAGTCCCATTTCTGCGATGATATGCCCCGTAGATCAGCTACCAATTAAATGGTAAAGTTTGGGCAATGTCCCCAGTAATTTAATTGAAGGCTCAGACATCATCTGTTGGCCTAAAAAGATGGTGCATTACGTAAATACTCTTAAGACGCACGTGACATCGAAAATCGACCGCTCATCGGCTCTTGTAGCCGTGAAGTTTCAAGTGAATCAGCAATATGTCTCCATACATCAGCAATACATACAATTCATCGCCACAGCACTCCAATCAAAGATGCCACTCTGGTGGTGACGTCGTGAGATGGTGTCTGGTGTCACAAAAACGGAAAACCACATACTGAAAGCTGAGAACGAGGCTTCCTGCAGCCCATCAAGAAAAGGGCTGCGCAATGAATGATAAGTGCTATTTGCATCTGATTGCCCGAAAGTGCAGTGTAATCATGACTACTACTGCGTTTAAAAGGACAAAAATGTGTGTTCCGAATTTTTTTCTTCTTCGGAGACTTCTTATGAAGTCACGGTGTAGGCCGTCGTATCGAGAGTCTGTGAATGTAACGGCGGTTGATGAAAGCTTTGCAGTATTTAGGAGATAACTTGGCAGATAAAAATACAACAAACCATGCCTGCCTCGTCCAAGCAGTTTTTAGACTCGCGCCAAAGCAACAAAGCCGTTCTCTGGCCATGATTTGGCAAAGACACATTCAAAGTTCGCCCTAGGAGAGCTGCTGAAGCTCAGCACACGGAATGTCGTGAGGATAACCCACCCTCGGGGCCACGGCGCCGTCCCACCGAGAAACTCTGGAAAAGCTTGAGGGCTAGTGTGTAGGAAAATGGATGGAGAGCACCGAGAGAAACGCTGACTTCGGGTACAAAAGTATCAAAAAGTTGCAGGAAGTTTTGCGGAGAAGCGTTAGAAGCTGATTGGCCACGTGAAGGCAGACGTACACTGCGTAGCTGATGAGGCCCACCTGCGCTTTTCCCTCCTCTACCTCGACTCTCATGTAAACAGCAGAGGCCGTGCTGGTTCTTCTGAGATGCCGTCTATGTTTGCGAGCCAATCAGGCAGGGAGCCGCAGGCCTCTCGCCTTGTGCCAAACTTAAGTTGTGACCCTGTAGTGTACTTACCCTACCCACCACTTGCAATGCATTTGCACTTGCATTTGCACTTGTTATGTCACCCGCTTTTTCCGGTCGGTAGGTCAGATAACACGACACAGAGCTTGTATTCACTACGGTCATGTGACGACAACTATGGCAAAAACATTACAAAAAGTGTCAGATTCCGAGCTCGAATGCAATTGCTAATTATCTCTGTCACGCTTTCAAGGACACAGCGTCGAAGCGCGTTCGAAGCCAGCCAAAACAACGATCGTTGACATCTGTGCAGTGATTGCCCTCAGCATGCTGAACACCATAGTCAAACGCATTGACATATCACATTAACTCTCCCTACACATTCGGCATCGACTAGGATTATTACGAGACGGCGGGAAAATAAGGGCAACGGCGAAGGCTGCGCCAGGTTCCAGAAGACACCCGGTTCCTTTTCACGCCAGCAGCAGCTCGCCTTCGCTGAACACTGTCCACTAATGCCTGACGTCATTAATGGCATGAACAAACAACGCCGGCATGCGTCTGTCGCCATCTGACGGATGTGTGTGTGCATATGTGTGTGTATAGTAGCAGCCAGTTTGCACGCGATCCCACGTGACAAATGTGGCCGGGATCCTTGTGACACTGCGCAGATTAGCCACCTGATCAGGACCGATCAGGGTCTCGCACTCTACAAATCACCGCAAATGTTCGCACAAGCATCTGCACATCGCACTGTTCACCACGACGAAACTAGCTTTCATCCATAGAACTTGTATGGTTTGCTGCTCCGAGCTCTTGCTTTGAAGCTTGGGCACTCTGCAACCAGGTATGACAATATAAGTGTACGGGATACTGCGACAGACACAACTTTAATATCGCTTGTAGACGGATGCAGTGACATCGGTGTATCGGACATAGGAAGTAAATATATCAGCTTATCCCGAAATTGACATCAGAAGCGTCTGCCATTCTCGCTCGACTCTTGCGTAACAACTTTGAACGACTATGCTTTCTACGGTACTCAGAAAAATTTGATACCATTTTCACCATTTCTATCCACTTTTCGTAATCACTAAGCTCCATCGCACGCTGCTGACTAAGAGACACGTACCTTAAGGATAGGTGTTAAGGAGAGCGACCCAGCTGGAAGTGCAGCAGAACGTTTGGAACCCCCTATCACCACGATGGGGAACACAAGATGGAATGACATCGGGTCCCCCGACCATCTCCCGACCCCTCCAGCTCCCTCCAATAACGGGGGGCCACAGGACCATGCGTGTGAGCTATTGCGCCACCCTTCGCCTGCCGTGTACGTGCACTTTCTTCACGTCAATTTGCTTTGCTCCGCCCCGGCCGTGCTAGACGGGCAGGTCGGCCACAGGTGAGGCGTGAAGCCACAGTTCAGGAGTGACGCCATAGGCGATGCGTGACATCACATGTGAGGCGTGACGTCACAGATGAGGCGTAACGCGGGCGGGCGTGGCGTCACTCACTGCAGGTGCGGCAGCGCGCCTCGTCAGAGGCGTCGCCGCAGCCGTCGGTGCCTGTGCACAGGATGGCAGTGGAGCGGCAGCGTCCGCTGTCGCAGCGGAACGGGCAGGGCACGCCGTCGCGCACGCTGCCCAGCACGCAGGCGGCGTGCGGCTCGTCGGAGCCGTCGTCGCAGTCGAGCACGGCGTTGCAGAAGGTGGCGGCCGGCTGGCAGGCACCGGAGCGGCACTGCAGGCTGCCGGCTGGGCAGGCTGCGGGCGCGCGCAGACATTATGAGACGGGGCACGGGCGGGGGCAAGCACGGCATGGTTTAACCGGAGGCGAGCAGGCAGAGAAGGACTCGTGCGGGCGGGGTAGGGGGTGGACAGGGCACGGTACAGACACCGCAGTGTCAGACGCCGACACTTGCGTGTTTCGTCGACAAACGTTGCCACCAAAATATTGATGGGGGTCATAGACGACGAGGAAGCCCGCGTCTTAAGTGGTCACTTGCCTCGGTTAAATAACCATACTGAAAATGCACACATGTTGGGAAATAGAGCCAGACCTCTATGGAAAGTGTGGCTTCTGTGGTTATGAACCACTGAGGAATATTGGCAAACGTCGCGACACAGCAACAAAAACAATACGACAGCATCAAATACTTATAAATCATCCGTAAAGCCTGCAAGAGATCGTCATTAGACTACCCCCGACCCTCAAGCAGTATAAGTACAAGGGCTGCCATACGGAGAAGCCATGGCCAGCGGGTGCTCGCTCCGCGTGCCGGCAGCCCATGCGAGACGCCCTCTGATGCCGGCCCGTCTGAGAGCAGCCAGACGAACCCGAATGAACCCCATGTGCTCTTGACAATTATCCTGCGGCACCCGTCGGTCGCCCCGCCCTCCTGGCCAGCCCAGGCCGCCGACGATTACTGTGTGGCGCCAGCAGATTGGCCAGCCCTCGGGCCGGGCGGCGGCATCCCAGCTCGTCGCTGCCGTCGTCGCAGTGGCGCACGCCGTCGCAGAGTCGCGCTCGGCTGACGCACTGGCCGCTGGCGCAGGCGTGCGTCAGCGTCGGACACCCGTGCGGCGGGCGGCACAGCAGCTCGTCAGAGCCGTCGCCGCAGTCGTCGCGGCCGTCGCAGACGAAGTACCAGCTGATGCAGCGACCGGTGGCGCGGCACTGAAAGGCGATAAGTGCCGTGGCCAGCTGCGGTGTCATCCCATCTCAGAACATTAGGCTGACAGACTTTCGCACTGGATATGAATGCTTGAATTCTGCTCACAGAAGTCATTGCTGAAATATGATGGCGTCCAGAGTTTGACATGCTCTTTGTCGTAGATTAATAGCCGTTTAAAAATCGATGCCATCACGCTAAACTTTAGACCGCGCGTCAGCTGAAGCGGAGAGCCATGATTAGAGACGTAGCAGGCTATATTAGAGGCCTCTCCTGGGCAGGCCAGTTGTCATTGTCGTGGGCCTGTTTGTGGGAATGCTCCAGCGATTGTCAGCCAAGCTGAGCGTCACTCTATTCAGAGTAGTGACCAAGCGGCACCTGTGCGCGTCACTGACCTGGAAGGTGTGGTTGAAGCAGCCGATGTTGTCGGCGCTGCATTCGGTCGACGGCTGGTCGCACTGGCACCGGCCGGCCTCGCAGTGCGAGTTTGGGTCGGCCGCCCTACACGCGGCCGACGCCACGCACGGTTGACCGAGCGCCGCCGGCAGCGCTGGCGCCTCTGGCGACCGACGTGATAAGTTTTAGATCAAAGGAAAGTCACAAGGGGTGGCGGCGACGAGGTCACGCCCAGCTGGACATCATTGCGGCGGCGCTGCTTCATAGCTGGCATTCATTTGTACATCATTTGTTAGACGCTCCCTAGATTGGAAACAGAGCGCGTCTTTACCATGGATGTTCGTTAGTTGTTCAGTGCATTAGCGAGGAACATTATTCACATAGATAAGGCAGTAGTACCTATTAGTCTCATTCCTCGGATAAAAAGCAGGAGAATGGAGATGTAATTGGGTTGATATTTCGCCAATATGCCTTTATCGAAACGTGACCTAGTGCTTCTGCTATCGTTTCGATAAAGGCATGTGGCCGAAACATCTACCCAACTATATCTCTATTCTCCTGGCTGTTATTCGAGGAATGAGGCTGATGTACTGTCCTATCTAAGGCGGCCCGTTGTCAAAAGCGATGGATATCAGTCGCAGATGAGTGCTGTAAATTTCGAAATCACTACAATTCAAGATTGAAATCAAAACTGTGAATTTCGAAATCACTGCACATTTTTCAGAATTCGGCTACTGAGAAGCAGCTTAAATGCGCAGTAGCGTCCAGACAGCTGATAATGTAATATTTGTCCACGTGGGCGGCGCGCTTCAAGCAGACCACACTGCGCCAATGCGTTTTGGAGGTCAAACACTGCTTACGGATACGTGAGTTGCGTCAGCACGAACGTAAACAACGGAATTATCTGCTCAGTGTCAATCTTGTGACGCCTAATCCCTTCTTGTGCACGGAGTGCTCGCGAGAATATTCACTTCCAAAGTCGAGCACAAACAAGCAGCCAGCTAGGAATGTTATCACTATCTTAGTGAATGACGTTAGGGAAGTTTTTAGCATTCCAGTGGACAGAACAGACGAGCTTCTGACGTCCTGCCGTCACTCAGCGGCGAGTCGTGGTGACCGAGCTGTCAGAAGGCGCAGAACGCCGGCCTGAACTTCAGCTGAACGAGTCGGAATGAGAGAAGTTATTGGAACAAAAATACAGTAATGTTCTCAGGTTTCATTCCAGGCTTGTGATGATAAACGCCTGCCTCTTCACTAAAGATATCGGCACCTATGTTTAGGAACGATGTATTACCTAACGCGTGAAGCTCTGCACAGGGCGCTTCATTACGCAAGGTACCTTGCGTGTGACCTACTTCGTAGGAACTGGATTCCTAGTTCGCTCTTTCACTCAATTGTGTAGCTGTTGAAGTGGAGTGGAGAAATGCAAGTGGTTTACTTGCTTGCAGTTTACGATTAATAAGTACAACCCACGTCTACGGACCCAGGAACACGCCTACGCGCCGCCTTGTGCTCGAATAAACACCCGCGTGAGTGACGTAAGATCTGCGCTGGACCTACACGCAGAAGTGAGCTCTTGCATGAAATTTGAAATGTCGTCGCGATTGCAAGGAAAATGAAGGCTGTCTTCAGCGGGAGCCTGAAATTAAATGGCCCCAGTTGCACCCTGCAAATGAATTAGACATTGGCAGCCGTCGCCCAGCTCAGTGAAAACTTTCTTATGAATGCCGAGCTACTAACGGACGGCTAAATATGCTCGTGAAAAATTTGTTTGCTGGAAACGTACGCTGTTGGAATCATGCGTTTGTCTCGGCTTTGTGCATTCATGTTCAGACTTTGTGATAAGGCTGGCGGCGAATATTAGGAAGGTGCAGTGTTCGGATCGGTGGTTTTTCCGTCCGATGCCAGCTGCCCTCTGGTTGGCCCAATTTGTTACCAAAGTCTAGTTTCATCAGATTAAATTACAGTCTCTGATTGGCGCCACATGGAATGTATGTACTAAACTATGCGAATTGAACATAATGAAAAATAAAACGCAAAAGCTATAGCGAAAAACAGCGCAGTATCACCGACACGTCCATTCATGCCAGATCGGCTCGTATCGACTTGGTGCGCTTAGGTTCACATTTCCTTTCATGAAACTAGGCCTTTATGATCAATGACCAATTCTAGATATCACAAGCAGTTTTACTGATAAGTGCTAAGTGGAGACTGCATCCACCAACTTTTTAGCAACTGAGATCATTTTAAATCTACCTGGCAACCCACGGGCTAGCTGATTTACCCAGCTCGATCTGAAAATCGCAAGTTAATCATTCCTATTACACCAAGAACAAAGCCATTTTTTCAGGTATTTCTGAAAATTTACAAGCCAGAACAAAGTTTGTCAAAGTCTGCAAAGTAAACACGCGCTCGGGTGGCCTCCTAGATACCCTTCGCTCGGGTGGGGATCAATTTGACTCCCCTGAGATCTCGGGAACTAAGAAAGCTAGAAACACCCAATTTACAAGGTGTGTTGATCTGTACGTGAACTCACTCAGGCCAAAGTTTCAGCTTCTAGGCCATGATCTTCGGGTCAAAAAAGGTCAAACAAGGTAAGTTCCAGGCTGGTCTCCAAAATGCCCCCGGAACCTAGATAACCGTTTCTAAGTAAAAGGTCGAATTATCACTCAAGTTCAGTGACCTTTTTTGACCTTTTGAAGGTCAAAGTTACCAAAATAATACAAGATTGCTTTAAGTTTTGCGTATGACTAAGCGACAAAAGTTACGCTAGAGAGTATGCTCCTTAAACAAAATGTTGACCAGGGTCATCTTAGATTAATGACCTATTCTGACCTCTAAGAAATCGATGAAATATATATAATGCGATTCCTGCCTTTAATGAACTCGAAATGAGCACCAGGATCTATCCCATACAGCAAGCCCTGGAGTAACAAAACAGGTTGGTTTTGACCTTGGTGTGACCTTTATACCTGACCTTAGGTCAATGTAATTTGCTCATTCAACTGTTGTGTTGCCTAAGAAAGCACCTCAGAGATGTATGGCTTCGTCTAACACTCATTTGTTGGATAATATTGAAGGATTTCCTAGGAATTGCCTTCGCTGAAACCATGGTCTGACTCTGACCTGTCATAGGTCAGCGACCTTACAGAGTACATTTAAATATTTGATGCCGAACAATTTGCTATTCAATTTTATACTTGCTATTCATATTTATTATTATTTTTTATTTGCTATTCATATTTTTTTAATTAATTCATATCAATTTGCTATTCAATTTTCCGAGCGGCGCGGCTACGCCGCACCGCTCGGAAATCATTTTGAAAAAACCTTCGGGAGGGTCAATTTGAACGCCCCACCCGAGGCCATGTTGATAAAAAAAATGTGCTGAGTGGAGTACTTTTACTTAATCTTGTTTTATATCTATTAAACTTTGGGCACATGTGGCATTGTCTTCAAGGGCCCCACATAAACTACGATAAAGGACCTGTATGCACGGTCAGTATACTGATTACAGATTATGTAGGATCGCTCGACTGTTGAAGTCCGGTAGATGTACGTACGTTACATTACACGATTAAGCAACTAAGGAGAATCCACCACAACCAACCACTATGAATCAAAGTATGCTGTATCAAAAGCGGTTGTGAAGTATGTACTTGTGGTTTCAAATACAACACAATACTGTCTAAGTTAAAGCATGCAGGGATCTGTTATTTTGACTGAATGATAGACCAAGTGGCTTTATGCATTCCAATTCCACGGCTCTAATCCTTGGAGTTACATCTTTTAAAAGTATCTGGTAGCCTCTCGGCCAGCTAGCCGGACCATCCAGCCGTTTCCGGCGGCTAACCCACCGATTGGTGCCTAACCACCTAGTCGTCTAGCCGGAGACCAACCTTGTCCTTTTACAGCACATAGGTTCATCTGCGTAGTGCTTAGCCACTGGCTGTTTAACTTTGAACAGTAGCTATGCTTAGTTGCCTAGCTTGCCTAGGTAGCTTGCTTAGCTATGCCGGTTGCTTAGAACGTATCTAGTTGTCTAGCCGCGCATCTCTTGCTTTCGGCAGAATTTGGACTATTCTTCCGCGAACCCCGCCAGGAAACCGGTCGGTTAGTTGTGTTCATTCCCAGCAGAAAGTTGGTTGTTCACCCTAAAGTATTGGGTAACACGAATCCTCCCCCTAAACCATTCTCCACTGGCTCCCAGCAGCCTGTTCTCTGTATAATTCACCGAGGTTTGTTTGGTACGGGCCGGTTACCTTTGTACAGCGGCCGGCAGAAGGTGAGGTCGTTGGACTCGGTGAAGCCGGGTGCGCAGCGGCACGTGCTGGGCTTGTCCGGGTGCTGGGCGCACTGGGCGTGCGCGATCAAGCCGCACTCGGTGGGCAGCTGGCAGCGGCTGCCTAGCTCTGTCAGTCACACGCGACGACCACTCACAATCGTGCTATACTTGTGGAGAGAGTCGAACACTGATAGTCCAGACCGTCCACACCAGACCAGACCGTCCAGACCGTCTGGACAGACCGTCAGATCGTCGGCAACGAAACACGTCCGCCTGGTGTGGCACGGACCGACATGTGCCCAGCGGACAACGTACAGCCTCTGAACAAATTAGGGCAAAGTTTTCGGGCAAATGGAATAGAAAGCTCTGGGGACGAGGCTGCGTTGGTCGTGAGGGATGACAGTCGCGTGTTCGAGTTCTTTGAAGGCTCGCTGTCGGTGGATGTCGTCAGTCGTGTGGCCTTCAGCTCAGCGGTTAGCAAACATGCAATCGTGTAATGGTCATGTATCCAAAAACAGATAAGCCTCGCAGCCGAAGCACCGCTTCGTTGCAAGAGAAGAACGCACTATACCGCATAAATCATCGGCATGAAATGATGAACCGCGATGGATACATCGCTTGCACGTACTGTCACTTTCATTCAAGTCTTTTGTGGCAAGCTAAGCATATGAATGTTAAAAATCAGAGGAAATATTCGCTTTGCTGTAGCAAAGTCGGGTACTCTTAGTGTCACGATCGATTGCTAAGTGTATTCCATGCTTCATATCCAACGCTTGTACGGTGGTTTATTTTGGGTGTAATAAATTTTTCACGGCAAGAGGACCCTGTGCGACGTACTTAACGTTGAACCCTCAGACCATCACTGTGGCCTTTGGGTACGGGCGATCAGAATCGCCATTCAGCTAGCCAAGATAATGAAATAGCGAGCACGTTTATACATATTCCTTGACCAGCGCATGAGCGAGAGTGTTAGTCAAACAAGAGCAGCCACTTACTTGCAGCAGATCTCAAGCATTTTGCTCCCACTAGGCTAGCGCCGTTCGGACACTGACATCTGCCAATAACTCGTGGGATGATGAACTTGCAATGGCTTCCTTTTGTCCCAAGATGGCACTGGTCCTGCGTGTGGCAGGTCTCGTTCAGTTTTGCCGCTGAAACAAGAATGAATTATTTGACTCGAAGGGTGTCTTTCCCTAGTGGCATAGGAACATATTGATCTGAACACGTGTGAAGAATACAGATCGCAGCGCTTAATTGCACGGCCTCATTGTTCCTTATTGTCTGATAGCTAACAGATATATGTTCCAGTCAAATGCATGCATCACATGTGCAAATGATCTGGGCCTAGAGGCTATCCGTCTGTTGACCGACGCCTGCAGCCTAGGGCAGCGACACCGTGGGAGGCGTGGTGGACGCGTCCCACACGACTTTCAGAGCGAGGGAGACTGTTCCTCACAGTCTCAGGTGCCCGAAATAGTCGAACGCATGTAAGCGTGTTCTCGTGAAGCGACTTAATGCACAGGATCTCACACAGGACGCTAAACGTAGTTGACACGACTGTTGGTATGCCGCGGAAATAGCGAGCCGAACACACTATGTGACACGACTATTGGTACGCCGCGGAAATAGCGAGCCGAACACACTATGTGACACGACTGTTGGTACGCCGCGGAAATAGCGAGCCGAACACACTATGTGACACGACTATTGGTACCCCGCGGAAATAGCGAGCAGAACACACTATGTGACACGACTATTGGTACGCCACGGAAATAGCGAACAGAACGTATTACGCGACACGACTACGCCGCGGAAATAGCGGGCAGAACATATTATGTGACACGACTACGCCGCGGAAATCGCGAGCAGAACACATTATGTGACAGGACTATCGGTACGCTGCGGAAACAGCGAGCCGAACACATTATGTGACACGACTATTGGTACGCCGCGGAAATAGCGAGCCAAACACATTATGTGTAAGCCATCTCAAAATGTCGCTCCTCGCACTGCAAACGCCAAAATCTGCGGTAGACGTCCCGGTGTTCAACGCCATTCCTACGCTTCCCGGCGGGAGTTTCCGCAGGGTCATGGTTCCGGCGGTTGTTTCGATTGCATGTCTTTGCGGGGTCACGGCCATCCCATTGTCGGGCTGCCCTCCCCAATGCTTGGTTGGCTTCCGTCATGTGAAACTTGGCCTCCGACAGTCTATCGTGTTTTTAAGTAATAGTTGAATTCTTAAGAAGTATGAGAAGTAAGAACGGTTTATATCGTATGCGCCGCTAAAAGGCATGGAGATTCGTACACATTTGTATCGGGCTTTGAGCTGAAATGGCCATATTGAAGATCACTCAGTGCAGTTCACAGTCCTCATATGTCTCCTGCATGAGCGGCTACATGATGCTTACAATATGGTATTTCAAAGACTACCTGAACGTTTCCAGCTTAATGAAGACAACAGTGAGCGAGCCTCCCAATATTTTCAGTTCGATGAAGACAACAGTGTGCGTGTCTCTTCCAACATTTCCAGCCCAATAAAGACAACAGTAAACGCTCATCCCAATATTTCCAGCCCGATGAAGACACCTAGTTCCAGCTGGATGAAAACGGCATTGCGTGCGTTTCTCCCAATATTTACAGCTCGATAAAGAGAACAGTGCGCACATCCTCCCCCCCCCCCCCTAATATTCCCAACTAGATGAAGACAACAGTGAGCGCGCCTACCCGATATTTCCAGCTCGATGAAGACAACAGTGTGCACACGTCCCCAATATTTCCAGCTCGATGAAGACAACAGTGAGCGTGTCTCCCCAATATTTCCAGCTCGATGAAGACAACAGTGAGCGTGTCTCCCCAATATTTCCAGCTCGATGAAGACACCACTGCGCACGCCTCCCCAATATTTTCAGCTAGATGAAGACAACAGTGAGCTCGTCTCCCTCAACATTTTCAGCTAGATGTAGACCACAGTGAGCGCGCTTCCCCCAATATTTTCAGCTCGATGAAGACAACAGTGTGCACACGTCCCCAATATTTCCAGCTCGATGAAGACAAGAGTGAGCATGTCTCCCCAATATTCCCAGCTCGATGAAGACAACAGTGAACGCGTCTCCCTCAATATTCCAGCTCGATGAAGACAAACAGTGAGCACGTCTCTTTCAAGTCGCGAGCTCTGCGGCTGGCGTCGGCAAACTCAGCCGGCGGCAGTCTTGGTTGACAGTGACGAAGGCACCATTTAGCAGGCTAACAAGGTAGACGCAACGCCAGCGTGAATAATGGCGTAGATCGTCACCAACATTCTTCGCACGGCAATTACAAGATGTGTTTATGGTGGTCTGTGATATGCTATGGATGAATGGCACGCCAGCTGCAAGTTTTCGATGTCATCACCAAAAATATCAATCACCAGGACCAAAAAGCGGCATTTTGGGCAGAAAAGCTTTAGCTTTTAGCTTTATTTCAGGACGTCTGATTACCATTGATGCATTCCCTTCTAAGCAATAAAAAAAACATGACACAAGCGTTAACCTAAGTTTAGGTTTGGAAACATCCGGAAGCATTGAAAATGGCCAACCAATGGGCTCTACGCTCTGACGTTCCCATGGCCACAGAAGACGGCCCTGTCTGACCGAAACAGGGTCATGGCAGGTGTAACGTACGTGCGAGGCAGGCGTGCCGTTTGTATGTGGAGAAGCCCAGACTGCAGCGGCAGGCGCCGCGGATGCAGGCGGTGTTCTTGACACGCGACCGGCACTGGGCGTCCTCCACGCAGGGGAAGCCCAGCAGGGACGCTGTGGGAGTACACGTACGGTTAAGGCCCAGCTAACGGCCGGCTGGCCATGTCGTGACCTTACGACGAAGTCGGCACAGTAAGCAAGTCCGATACGCTATGAGCTTTGGTTAACACGTCAAGCAGTCAGTCAAGTGCAGATCCGACAAAAGGTCTCCGTGACACGTATCTGCGAAATGTACTTGATCGAAGCAATATAACATGCGCATAACCGTGTGTTGAATGCAGCCCGAACATGTTGAGACCTTACTTTCAGATTCTTTCCCACAACGTCCCATATGCATCAGCCTGTGCAACCAGCCAACTCTGGGTGTTTTTGCCCAACTCGTTGTTCTCTACTTCTCCCAAATGAATGTAGCCAGGGTCAGGTTATCTATTGCCTTAAAATGAACAGGACATTTTGATATCTTTTTATGATTTAATCTTGCGAATGCGCACTTAACATCTTTTGGTTATTCAACCTTCGTCTCAGCCTGTGCCCCATAAAACGAAAATGTACTGTGCCTTAGGATAACATCAAATTTTTACGATTTTTGCTGGAGCTAATAGGTGACGTCGTTTTGTTTTCTAAAGCGACTTCCCACGCTGGCGACCGATTGGAACCCGACATGAATTGGCACACTCTAAGAGACATAAGCATGACAAACCAAGTCCACTGCTGTTGGCCACTGCCGCGAGACGCCTCTCCCTGCATGCCCAGCTACGGTTTGCAACGTACGCGGCAGGCAGGCTGTGTTGTTCAACTGCACGTAGAATCTTTCGCAGACGCAGCGGCGCCGCCAGCAGCGACTATTGGCCACGTCTGCACAGTTGCTGTCTCGCAGGCACGGCCGCCCGAGTTCGGCGGCGGCCGCGGTTACTGTCAGCAGCAGAATAACCTGGAACACGGCAGGCCGTCAGCACCAGCTTGACCTGGAACACGGCAGGCCGTCAGCACCAGCTTGACCTGGAACACGGCAGGCCGTCAGCAGCAGCACGACCTGGAACACGGCAGGCCGTCAGCACCAGCTCGACCTGGAACACAGCAAGTCTGTCAGTACCAGCTCGACCTGGAACACGGCAGGCTGTCAGCACCAGCTCGACCTGGAACACAGCAGGCCGTCACCAGCAGCACGACCTGGAGCACGGCAGGCCGTCAGCACCAGCTCGACCTGGGACACAGCAAGTCTGTCAGCTCCAGCTCGACCTGGAATACGGCAGGTCGTCAGCAGCAGAGCAACCTGGAACACAGCAGGCCGTCAGCAGCAGCACGACCTGGAACACAGCAGGCTGCAGCCCACTGGCACATGGATGTAGGGACAGGTGTGCCATGGGGAAGGTCATGCCTCTTCCTTTTGGTTAACAACAATCCTACGTCGATGCATGTAAATAATGGTCTATGTCACTCAGGAGAACTTTCAAACTGCTTGTTCCCACGCGTGCACGACCTTTTAGTTGCCGGTGGCTGCTCTGTAGGCATGCGACCTCATCCCCACAGCACAAGCAGGTACTTTTCAGCCGCCTCACAGCTCAGAGGCTTTAAGTCGTGTAGCGAGGATTGTAGCGCGACGGGAGTGTTTGTTGGTCAGATCCTAACATCCTTTGACATTTTTAACATCCTTTGATTAATGACAGCAAAGCACAGAGAAGGCGAGATGAAAAGCTGCGTCAGTTGTTAAGTGCATTAGCGAGGAACATTATTAACAGAGATAAGACAGCAGTAATAGCCTTCTTCCTCGAAGAACAAATCAGAGAAGTGGAGATAGAGACACGTTGATATTTCGGCAATATGTCTGTATGAAAAACAAATGCCATAAGTGCTATTTTTCTTCTGCTATTCGTTTGATAACGGCATGTTGCCAAAATGTCAACACATACCTTTATTCCTCTGGTTTTTCTCCGAGGAGTAAGGCTGATACCACTGTTTTATCGGGATGAAAAAGCAAAAAGCATATCCTCATTTTAAATGCAGCATGCCACTTTTTGTACTTTTTACTGATTGCTAGATAAGATGCGTACAATTTGACCACTGATAACAGTTTTCTTGAAATCCCTCCGAACAGCTCAGACTTTCTATTTTAAGCAGCCATTCCTGGGGGAGAAACCTGATTGGATTTCCTGCGCATCACCATGAATTTCATACATTTTATTTGGCTTGCTTTTCCCAGCGTGTATGTTATGCTATGTTTGCATCACACAAACTTGACAAAGTGTTTATGCAATAAATGCTATGAAAGCCTGAAACATTATCTTATACAAAAAATAAACGAACATGAAGTCATGATTCCGAAAATTATACGAAACGTTATGCTGCGACTTTTATTTTTCTCCTATGGTGTTTACTTCAATAGCTCTTTCCGACGTGCACTTATGCTTTGGGAATGGAAGTATGACATGGTCTAAAGTGATGCACTGATGCATGGCGTAAACCGATGTGCTTCTTGATAACAGCCCATTGCCACCAGCTGAGTCATTACAAATGTTCTTTCATTCGCACCAGTGGAGGTGCTTCGGCCGGTTTTCATGACGATGGCAGGCATGACTTTAGGGAAGAGGCGTAGTGCTGTTTCTAAACGTTGAGAGCGTAATTTGGACCCGAAAATAATGAGATTTGATGTCCTTAACATGCCTTGACGGTGCTGCAGCGGCACTATCCCATACTTTTATTAAACATAACTGGTCCTGAGGATTCCGTACAATATGTTTTGACATATGCCGTAAAGGTGAGACACTCCCTTCAATAAAGTACCCAAGGTGCAGCTTGGGGCGCAAAATGACCACAGTAGTCGACGCGCCCTAAAACTCCAATTAACAACAATTAAGGTGCAGTTTATCAGTTCATTCTGAGAACCAACGCTCAGAGAAGCAACGCATCGACGGCTCAGCATCCGAGCAACCTGTTCACTTGGCCCTTGACGTCGGCGTCTGCTGGCTGCACGCCGTCGTGTCGTCACTTTCCAGCGATCTGTTTGGCTGTCTAGCTTAGTTGTACAAAGATACGCACAGAACGGTGCCCGTGAACCTTCCACTGCGCAAACCTTGCTTCACGTGGCAGTATGCGCCCCCTCTAGCAAGAGCTCCCAGCTGGTGGCGCCTGCCGTGTGATCGGCCCGCTGCTGTTGACCAGTGCCGGCCACAGTGGGTGAATGCCCGCTTTGTCGGCAGAGCTTGCGGCAGTCCGGCCGGCACCGCTTCCGTTCCGCCCACCGGGAACCTTCCGGACAGCCGCCGGTCGTAACTGCACGCTCCAGCGCCACCGACCGATACCGCCCCGCCCCGCCCGGGCTCGGGCGACAGCTCGTCACGCATGCGTCCGCAGCGTGTCGCGGAGTCCGTAATGTCCGATGGCGTCCGTCGCGTGCGACGGCGCTCCAGTCACGCGGGGCGCCAGGCGTCGGCAGACTCGCACCACCCCACCCGAAGCCGCTTCACTCGTGCTACAATCCACCTCTGAGCTTTAAAATCGCGTGGCTGTGTGACGCAAGTGAAAGGTGCGGTGTTAAAACCAATGTCAACAGTTAATCTTCCACTGCACAGAACAGTGCCGCTCAGTGCAGACGTGAACATGATAAATAACACTACGGCATATATTTTGGGCTCAGTACGTGCCTGATACATCAAAGGGACCGAGCTTCGTGCGCGTGTTAATATCTTACGGTCGAAAAGTATGTGAACGTGTTTTGATGTTATATTTCTGGTAACAATAAACCATACGCGAGGCGGCATTTTTGTCATGCACTGTAACAGTTTCAGAAAATTAGGTGGCATTCAAATGCTTACGTTAGTATGCTGAAAATGGTTTGAAAGAGCTCTTCACTATTGTGGGCACTTCACGGAGACAATAGCTATATTTCTGCGCGAGCACTGAAAAGGCGCGTGGCGTTCATTGTGAATCATCAAAAGCTTTAACCTTTTTCAGAAGGTTCTGCTAGTGAAGGGCACATACTGTTCGTTCTTGTAAGGTCGCCTCCAATGATAAACCGTGTTCGGAACGGTGCCGGCCATCACAAGGGAGGAGAACCTTCCTCGCACAAAATCATCGATCAAGGTGGACGGATGAATCGTGAAATATCTGCCTATACTTATTGCTCTTTTACATGGTATCTTGGAAGAACTGACAGTTGTTATCTAATTTTACTTATACCAGGACGAACAGGAAATCTTTAGTCCAGAATGCATCTTATTATCCGCAATCAGGCCCAAAACACACCACAGGGGCACTTTTGCACTTTGTTTTCGGTCCTAACAAAGCGAGGCGAGGCAGGGAAGATCCAGGAGAACATTCCGTAACTCTCAACGCAGCATACTAAGGACCCCGTTTCATTTGCCCTTATCCATGATATCTAAACAATCATACTTATGTCTGCAGATGTATTCATTTTATGGGACAATGGAAGCCATTTGCGCCAAAACGGGTCTCAGCATGCGCGAATTTTAGGGTATGCGAGTCTCGCGGCGACGAAACGAAGCGGCGGAAAAAGTTGACTTACAACTTAATAAACATTTATGGAACCAAGATTCAATGCAAGAAACGCGTGCTGGCGGCTCGCGGAAGAAAGCTCTGTTTTCTGTTGTGACATGTCTGTTGACCTCGATGTCTTTGCAGATTTTGAGAACATCCCTAATGCTTGGAAAAGGATGATGAGTGCTATATATTACTGGTAAGTGGAAACGCTATGAATGATGGCCAGAGTTAAGCGAGAGGGACTTCCACGATCATTACGTGAAATCTCTTATTTCGTTCCTCGGTTCCAAAGCGCACATGTCTTGCCAACTTGCCGGGCGATGCCTGTCATCCCTCCCGCAAGCCTCAGGGGAGGGGAGGGGCAGCACAGAGCCGGATCAAGGGATCCTGGTTTTCTACAATATGTATTAAGATCGAGCTTGTTTTATGGTTTTTACAAGATGTTAGGTTGTGTCCTCCTCAAGACGACATCCCATACATCATGCGTCAAGTGTTAATTACAGGAAGAACAACGATGCCCCCCCCCCCCCCCCCAACTCCTTTTTCCGAGTCGACCTCTGTGGAACTTCTGACGAAACATTTACGAATGGAATGTACCTGAGATGGTTGGCTTACATCCGAGTTTTCTCCGTCAAATTGTGCCTAGCAGCATTTTCAAATTGGATGATTCCATGAGCAACCAAAATATGTTCCTGTTAATATATCGGCTTTCCAACTTCATCCAGTGAAGACTGCAGACAGGTAACGCGTTGTTCTCCATGCAGTGTGGGCCCACTGTATGTCTAAGCCCCAGTATTAATACCGCGTCGCCAAAGGCAACGTAAATACATTTCG